CGCATTAATTAAATACGTATTTAATAAATTGCATCTCAATTAATGGGATTCACATCAAGATAATGACGAACCACAGTGCTTGATGCGACTCAGGGGGTCACTCTTCTCCACACAGCAAGCGCTCGACTTGGAATGTATGTCTGTGATGTCACTGCAACAGGGAGCGGAGGCCCCGCCCCCTCAGCGACAAGTCAGCGTTCATGCAGACTGCGAGTGCAGACATGAGTCTGGCGCTTCTATGTGCGCTGATGGCTGCTTGGAGTCTTGGTAAGGTCATCTGAGGTCAACGCCAATTTCAACTGATGCCTGACCGCATTTGTGTCCTTTTTGTGACAGGAATCAGCGGCCAGACGGTGCACCAGCAGGAACGGGACGCCCACACCGTGGAAGGTGCAGCAGTGACGCTGGACTGCAGCTCCGACAGAGCAGGGAACATTGACTACACGGTATGGTACAAACAAGAAGGCAACGCATCGCCCGAGTTCATCCTGAGCCCTTTTAAGATTGGTCATGGCAAGAAGGCGGAAAAGTACGTTGAAAGGTTTCGCTCCACCATGAAGGCCAGCCCTCGGCACGCTCCTCTGTATATTGAAAGCGTGAAGCCCAGCGACTCGGGAGTCTCCTACTGCGCCTTGCAGACCACGCTGACACATCCACTGGCGTGCCTGCACAAAAACATCTGCACCCGCCTCATCTCATCAGTGACATTGGGGGCGTGACCTCACCGGAGTCCAAGAGGTACAGAGTTCGATTGCGGCTTTGGCCTTTTTGTAAGTAGCTGTTTTGTGAGAGTTGGGTAAATTTGCTGCTTTGAATTTGTCAAATGAATGCTTTACATGTTTTGTCCTCATAAAGTTCATCGTGGAAATAGCTCATGTTTATGCGCGACCATCTTTCAATCACAAGAATGCCATTCTCACACGCAGATGACACTCGTTCCCATTTTCCAATTTGCTGTCAACACACAGGGAATAAACTGCCGTCACCACAACTTTGGTCAGCAACTGTAATTTTATTTCTTTGAAGACATCATTGATGTCACACATATAGGCCCGTTGGATTTGCAAAGCAATGAGTACATATTGTGAGAAAAAAAAAACTATGAAAGTGTTGGGTTGTATATTTTGGTGGTTGAACATTTGTCGGCAAAGTTTACATTGCCACCCAAGCAAGAATGCTGCTCATATTTACTTTTATAATTATTATTGAAAATAGTAAAATATTAATATTATTATTCTTAGTAGTAGCAGTAGAAGTCGTTGTAGAAGAAGTAGTGCTATGATTATGGTTATTTCAATAATGCTGTTGAACCAGAATTCAACAGCAATTTCAGATTTTCATGAGTTAATTTTAATTAAATGTTTTTTTTTGCTACTTGTTCTTTAGTTCTTTCACAAAGGGTACCAACAATATTCACCATGTACATTTCGCGTTGTGCAATTTGGGATAGAAATGGAGCAGGACGATACAGGTCACGATATCGTCTTCCGGCGTCGCGCTGTCGCCATCTGTTGGTCAATAGGAGAAATGCTGTCGGTGACAACTTCATGAAATCGAAAACGAAACCCGTATTTTGATTTGTGTCTCGTGTTATACGGTATTCTTTTTTCGTTGAAAAAAATTAAAATCTTGCTGTTTAATTATTCAAACACAAGTCAAACAACGACGTGTTTTTGTACTTTTAATATCTCTTTTCAAACGGAATATCCAGCTACCAAAAGAGCAACGGACAACACTGTGGTCAAACTGCAAATGCAGAAATGTTTTATAAAGCATATGCGTGCATCAAAATATGCAACATACACATGTTACAATTACATTATTGCACAATGAATGAGAATTGTGCATAATGTAAAAACAAAGAATAGTGTAAAAAATAAAAATGATGATCATTTAACTTTTAAGTGTGCCCTCATCGTATTTTGGCCTCTTTAGTTTCTTGTTTTCTGTCAGAAGAGGTTTTTTCCTGGCGGTTTGTAAAGAACTGATCCAAGGACTTTTGCTTTTGTCGGGTTTCAACAATCCTTTGCAAATGTCCAAGGCAAACATCAGCATAGTGATCGCCCGACTGGTGAACTGTTAGGTTGATTGTTTTTCGTTATCATACATTTGCAAATTATTCATGATAAATTGGTTATGCTTGCAATGAAAAACGTTTATGCTTTTAATCGAAATATAATGCTTCTAATGAAGATATGCTCACATCTATAAGATAAGAGTGCAGTGGGTGGCAGTTGAGGGACGCAACCACCTTTCCGAGAAAGTGGTTGGAAAGAGATAAGTATTAAGACTAAACAGGAGCAAGGTCGGACGTGGAACTGTCAACACCAGCTGCAACTTTTTGTTTGTATTTGTAATGACTGCACACATGTACATAATTTTCACTCACATACACACCCATAGTCAAACAAGTTCAGTGTGTCTTCAACAGCCCTCATCCTTGAGGTTGGACACACCCATGTAGTAGATTCTCAATAAATGAGAGGGGGAGATCCTTGGGTGATGTGCAGAGAACTGAAACCAACTCTTCTTCTCGTTCCCCCCTGGTCCCAGAATTGAGCCTCCTGTCTCCTCCTTGTGTTTTATGTCTGAATGTCAAATTGATGGACCTAACATGAACATTTTTTCTGGGTGATTCACGTTTACGTAAAACTGTCGAAAGACCTCATGGCCCAAGGGGCAAATGACAAGGATGCTGCATAGACACGTATCTATTTATCGATCTACACACACAGACACACACGGCTTAGGTCCTTTTTAGCCAGTAGGATGCCAGAATGATCCTCGGTAATAGCCAATGGCAGAGCAGCTCTCAGTATGTTGCGTTCAGGAAACTCAGAGCTGCGAACAGCGGCCAATACTGTATTTTTACCTTTTCGTATCTTGAAATTTCTTTCGCAACAAGAGGCAATATTTTCCTGTTGTTGCGTTTCGTAACTTGAAAACTTCATACGAATAGACGTTCGAAAGTAGAGGTACCAGTGTAAAAGTAAAAGGCAGAACCTGGGCCGTGGCTTCACGTGATCAGGGAGGAGCTTCAGTTACACGATGAGATTGTGAGTTCAGAGCTTCAGTTCAGAAGGAGAAGCAGAGTTGACAGACATTTCTTCAGTATGTTGCTTTCAGCTTGGTTGCTGCTCATCATCACGGTGGCAGGTGAGTGCTGCCTGGCGAGACGAAGAGTCACTCAACATGTCACCGAATGCTGAAATGCTTTTGTCTCATCCTTCAGGCACCAGCAGCGAGCTGGTGGTGGTCACGACTGAAATGCTGGCATCAAAAGGGGGTCGGGTGACACTGTCATATGTTTATGCCAAAAAGTCAATGAGTAGTCATTATATATTCTGGTACAAACAACTTCCTGGACAAGCGCCACACTTCCTTTCCCACTCAGGAAATGGCAAACCATTAAACGGCAGCACCAGAATGTCGGTCAGCGTGACAAGTGACAGGGAGCGAGTGCACCTGCATATCGAGGATGTCTCGCTTCAGCACTCTGCAGTTTAAGACTGTGCTGTGACACCCACAGTAGCATACACTCCACATTGTCATTACAAGAACATTTCCTGCTCCTGAAATCATCACACTCGCCTCTTATAGAGGAACAGCTAAACTAGATTTCCAAACCCCAATTCTGAAGTTTGGATGTCGTGCTGCAAAATGTAAAGAAAATTTAAATATTTTTTTCCACCCTAGTGGTGAGGAGTCAACAATTCAAATTGTTTTTGGTCATCCTGGTTTTTGAGGGGCATTGTTGTGTGACAGAGTGTCATGGGGCTTCCTGTGTACCAGAAGAAGCCTCCTCAACGGCTTTTCAGACAATATTTATTCGCAAGAAGAAGGAGAAGCAGATGGGGCCAAGACGAATTTCAGGCGACACGGCACAGTACGGTGCTGTGACTC